CATTTTAGCTTTTTTTTTTTCGTTTTGAATACTTTTGACTCATTTTTGGTGGTTTTCTGACGTTTGGAAAAATTAAGAAATCCAAGATGGCGGATCCAAGATAGCGGCTATTCGGAAATCATGACTTAATATCTGCGTCACATTCCGTCGTAATCTCGTGATTTATACGTCAAACGTTACATTTTTTGAACGTACTATAAAGCCTTAATAATCTCGGAGTAGCGGAGGTGGGACGGAATTCGCCCCACCCTGATCTGAAAAGACCAACAAAAGCCCGGTCTGAAATATTACTTGTGGTATTATAACCGCAAATACCACTAAAACTCTGTTTCCTATACTTTTACAGCCGGGCTGGCCAATCGATGAAAATCTAAGAAATCAAGCGATCAATCGATAACTGTTAGTTAACTTATATTGATTGGAATCGGCCAATCGATGATAACTCGATCGTCACAAGTAAATTTCCTTAATTACATCGATTGCTCAATACAAAATGTGGAAATACGTATACTAACATAAATGCTTAGTTTTTCAGTCAATTACTTTCAAAGCTAATTCAACAATACTCTGACTGCAGTTCTCAACACATCCCAGCACCGCGGTTAGCTAGACCTGGCATGATTAGCACTCAAAACTAGAGAGCAGACGCGGACAGCTGTTTCGCTCTTATTGGAGCTCATCAGCGCGTCGTAGCTAATTTAAAACACAATGACACTCAGTGACACTTCACCTATCCCATATATGTCACTAGTCACCCTAGGAGGGAGTTGAGAGATAATATATAATTCAACACTGTATTTATGATTGCCCCCGCAGCGGTTTGGCCCAGAGGCCAAAATCCGAGGAGGGATCCTTGGAGTCCGCGTGTAATAGTACTTACAGTCAAAATATACACTTTGTATACCAGGATACATCGCGAAGTTGCGTAAACAGGGCGCGCACGGGCTAAATGGGTAACGATGACGTAGCAGCCGTTCGAACGGCCTACTACTGTTCTTGAAGTCGAACGGCTGATAAACGGCAAGTTACAGAGGCCTTTCGAACGGAATTTTGGCGGAGCGGCAAGCCGATATCTAGAAAACTTCACGAAATAAATCAGTTGTAATAAATGAAGCATAGCAACAACACATTGACACGAAATATAAATATTATGTAAGCAAGAGTATCTTTCCACATCACAAAATTCGCCAACTTTTACTACAATCAACAAAGCTAACATTCATTAGCACTGAACGTCAAAAAGTACTACAACAATAGGTTTTAAACGGTAGCGGGGGCAGCTGTATTGTGAACTATTCCTAGTTATAATTTGTTTTTTCAATAGGAAAAGCAGTTGCTAAACCCAACACTGCAAGCGACACACCTACAGGTAAGAATTACAAGACTGTCATCGTGATGTTGTTAGTAAATGCGTAGACTCGATCGTCATCCACTTCTATTTATTCAAGCTACCTCAAAATACTTTTGATTATCTTTAAATCCCTAAATGGCCAAGGTCTTGCATACGTAATTGATCTGGGTTTTTTTAAAGACTAGTACTACAATGGACGTTCACCTGAACAACTGGAATAAATATGCTTCATTATGCAATTTTAGACTAGTTTATTTGCAGCCCAACTATTGCTTTGCACTTCTTCAGTTGAAACTTAAAAACACTCGCGTAAACTTAAAAAAGCGCCTTTTTAGTGCTGATTTTTTTTATTTATTTTTGTATTTATTTTATTTAGCGTTTTAAAATATTTGTAGAGCGTATTGACCATATAGGGAAAGGTATCTCCTTATTTGCCAATATTAGAACGCTCAAGAGGTAACCAGCCAACAAAAAAAAATGCAGGCAGAACATGACATGTTTTTACTTGTTTTAGGAGAAGATTGCTTCTTTGTGACTTTAGAGGTATTTTCTGGTCGTCCCGACCCAGAGTGGACCATTTGCCAGGATAACTCAAACTACAGTGAAATGAAACGTCTTTTTGACAGTGCGCCAGGATACAAGCCAGAATTAAACGCGCCACCGAAGCTTGGTTATGAGGGATTTGCATTGCTGGAGGCGAGAAACGGAGTTAATAAAACAGAGAAACTGATTGTTGGTCAGGAAACAGAAGAGTTACAGATACTAGTACTCCAATCCATACCAGAAGGTAAGATATCGACAGCTATAAAATAACTTGTTAAGGAAGAAATCCGAAGTGGAAATGTCTCAGCCGTAAATTTGAATCCAACGAAACGCTATGCACCATTGTACCGTCCAAAGTATTGGAACAATGCCGCTCACGTCAGAAAAAACAACTGCTACAACTACGCAAGTACCATCAGGAATGATCGATTTCAACAGCCTGGCAGTGCGGCAGGAAAACCGTTGCCTTTTGTCTATTATGGCGAGGACGCGAAAAAGGCTGCAGAGGCTGATGGTTGTAGATTTGAGAGAGCCAAAACACATATGTGCGCACCCCGCGGAAAGAGACAACTGGTCGCGCTGTTTATTTACATAGGTTTGTAGAAACTATATCGTTTGTTCATTTGGTGACGTTCATGTTAGACAATTTTAGTAATGGAGATCTAATCTAAGCAGAAGCATATCACCCTAAAGTGTCTAACTTTCGCCTATTTGTTTAAAACTATGCTGTGGGTTTTTATCCGCCAAATCTGACCAATCAGAATCACCGAAATCGTAATGCCCCAATATGGAATGAAAGTGTTCAAGAAGAGGTTCATATTTAGAGAGCTTGTGGCTTGGGATTTGTTTTGAAAGCGAACAGTTTCTTGCTTTTGTGGTGAGAAAATATCGTGCCACGAAGTTGTAATACAAAATGAAAAACTGATATTTTTGCTAGAAACTAAGCATGTAAAGTGAGTGCGTATATAATTGTTATCATTGTTCCGATTCTTAGAATTTCCAACAAAATTCGTGGAAAATCGACTACACAGTACGCACTTTTACCCACTCCGACGGAAAAAATCCCGCGCACGTCAAATATCTGTCAGTCTATATAAGGAACTAAATTTTAATTGGTTCCCCTGGTTCTCAAAAATCCCCAGCATTGAAATGGAGTAACATTCGAAGCTCTCTGAGAGGACATTCTGGTAAGCGGACAGCTCTACTTACTGCCGCCTTCACAAAACCCCGTTTGAACTATCATACAAACTCTGTATTTACACATCCATTCTCGTAAGCCACGGACACTTTCGAGGGGTACAATTTGGATTTTTCTGTTGTTTCTAAGCTCCCATAAGCATACATCCCAAACGAACAATCCTATAATTCCCGGCGCATCACTGCATCGAACGAAATCGAACGAAATTTTAATCGTACTTAATCGAACTCAATCGAACTAAATCGAACGATTAAATTCGATTTTGTTCGGTCATCGAACGAAATCGAACACATATTTTTTTGTGAGTTCGATTTCCGAACCAAATCGAACGAAATCGACTGTTATCGTTCGATTTTGTTCGAATTTCGTGTTTTTTTTTATATTTATTTCTTTAATGGTCATCCCGGGTCTCATTATCACACTGTGACAGGCAACTCAGCCCTGTAAATGACCCAAAGGGCAGATGGAGCCTGAATCTATTAAGTATTTATAATCAAGAGCTGAAAAACCGAACGTTCTACTTTGTTCGATTCGCAATTTTTTATGTGCATGTTCGATTTCGTTCGATGACCGAACTAATCGAACGTTCGATTTTGTTCGATTCACAATTTTTTTTGTGAGTTCGATTTCGTTCGATGACCGAACTAAATCGAACTCAATCGTTCGATTGAGTTCGATTTCCGAACGTTCGATGTGATACGCCGGGTATAATTCCCGTAGGCGGCCAGCTCCAGTTGCGGACACTCTGTCCGCTTACATGAGCTTTGACTGTTTTAGCTTCTGGGGATATGCTTCTTGTCAGTTAGTGTCAAACATAACGCTTTAGGTGTTCAATGCGTTCCAGTTCCCATTTTCAAACATTTTAATTGATTTAAGATAGACGAGCGTACGTTCGTCCGTCTCCATACTAGATCAAGCTATGTATTTTTGTTCTATGGTTCGCAATATTACTCTCCTTTGCAGCCATATATTTGGTACGTCACGCAACGCTTCTACCTCACTAAGACTATCGCAATGTATTGACTTGAATTTATTCCATTTGACGCCATGTTTAAACTGTTTCTAATGAACCCGCCCATTACTCTTGTCTTGCTCTACGTCTCTTTTGCGTTTCACAATAAAACAACAGCACAGTTGACATTATTATTTTTCATTATTACTAAGATAGCGATAAATAAACAATAGCCTCCATTTGACGAGGAAATATGCTTGGATATTTGTCCTTGGACATTATCTGTTCCTCGAAGCGAACAGCAAAACTATGAGCTTCGAGGAACAGATAATGTCCAAGGACAAATATCCGAGCATATTTTTGAAGCCAAATGGAGGCTATTGTAGTTATTATCCTTGAAATATTTTTTCAAAAATAAGTCGAGGTCCATAAACACGCAAAAAAAGAACGAGGCCAATATCCCGCTATCTTGACCTCACGCTTGGCCAATGACCCATTTGTATAATTGCATGTTTGTCCTATGAAATGTTGAATGAACTAAAGTGTTGTTGTTATATATAATGGAATCGGCTTCGGATCTGGAAAATGATCGGAAACATTCATATGATCGATATCTCCGTTCAAATTTACGGGAATAATAGTCCGTGATACAACATGACTGTTTGGAGATATTGAATTTATGTCAGTCGTGATCAACTCCAAATCTATATCGTTCCCCACTGTCTCTTGTAATAGAGTTAAACACCTGAATTAGAGAAATTCGATATATCCCCGTCCGCGGCATATCAGTGATTCTTTAAGCACGCGTTTGAAATAGCCACGCCTTAAAACAATGGACGACAATAGCTTCTACGTAGCAAAATTGCAAACATTATAGCTAAAAAATACAGGGACATTAACAAAACAAAATGTACTCTAATTTTTGTTTCACTCACGCCGGCGCTGTTCGCATCGATGGCTCTGTAACTCAGATGGTAGTCGGTAGAGCAGTGGACATGTAACCCGAAGGTCGTGGGTTAGATTCCCACCTGAGCCACTGAATTTGTTTTTGTCCAGTGGTCAGAATTTGCAGTGTAGCAATTATTCATTGATCTAATTATTTTTCCTGCACAGGTAAAACCGAAACTGTATTTGATCGCGATTATCACTTTTACCGTTTGGATAACAACGGATACTGGTCTCACAAACCTGGACAAACTCCCGCCACTGACCGGGATGTAAATGGAGACAGGATCCGTGATCCAAGACAAGCTGCCCAAGGAAAATACCCTTATACGTTTGTTTGTTTCATGACCATTGATAGAAACACCATTAAAATTCCAAACTGGGGTTAACATTACCCAATTTGCTACTGTAGAGCAAATTGTAGATATATAGATAGATAGATACCTTTATTTAACCAGGGTTTCTCTTTCAGTATTTACAAAGTAAAAAAAACTGATATCACTAGAGGCCCTTAACAATAATAGTACAAATATACAAGAAAATTAGATAAGTTAGGATAAGAAAATACTTAGGGGGTGATTACATGGCGAATTTCAGCCCGGGCTGAAATTCCAGCCCGGTTAGGGGGGCTGAGATTTCAGCTCGACTTCCGAAACAAATCCTCTTGAAATGAAGTTAGCAATTACATGGACAAGGTTTCAGCCCGGGCTGAAATTCATCCCGGGCTGATAATTCCAGCCCGGTTTGAGAAACCGGGCTGGAATTTTCAGCCCGGCCAAACGGGCTGAAAAAAACATGTAATCGGAATGGAATTTTCAGCCCGGGCTGAAAAGTGAACTTGGGCATGCGCAGTGATTGTGTTTTGGCTAAATTGTAGAATGCCCGCCAACGTATTTGCATGTCATTGAATAAGAATGGTCGTTTTTGTTTTATATACACGTGCAGCCGGTATGTAAATAAGTTGCCGGGTATTGTAAAATCGCTCCTGTGTTTTTAAACAAGATGGAAAAAAGGTTCCAGTGGAACAAGGGAGATAAAATCAAAAATCTTATTCGATGTGTCGCGAATTTCAAATCGAAAATGGAATATAACAACAGCTTCGTTCTTCAAACGTTCAGCCAATATGTAAATAAGTTGCCGGTTATTCAAATCGCCCCTCATTCTCTGATGACTCTTCCCGCGCAATTTCAAATTTGGCGCCCGGGCTGAAATTTCAGCCCGGGCTGAAACTCGTCATGTAATCGCAACAAAATTCCAGCCCCCTAACCGGGCCGAAATTTCAGCCCGGGCTGAAATTCGCCATGTAATCACCCCCTTAAAAGAAGCACAAATAGCCCTGTAATCCAATGAAGCAAATATACGAAATGTTTGTAAACGCGTTGAGTTGCAAAGTTTGATGTGCATTAGGTGAATTTTTCAGTTACGACATAATATATCAAACCCTCGAGACAGTGTTTCATCACATTTCCAAACCCCGAGAAGATAGTTGAATATAAGACGCGCAGCGGAGTATTTTTAACGGAATTCGAGGAGTTTGGAAGTGTGATCAAATATTGCCTCGAGGGTTTCGCTTCATTGACGGTGGTGTCAAGTGCAAAAATGCTTAAAAAGAAGATTGGCATATTTAGTGAGCTATATGGAGAGAAATTGCGTTGCAAAATAAATATGAAAGACAAGTTTGTTTTAAATTTTTATTTACGTAGGTGTATTTCTTTGACAACTGCACGGACAGGGTCGCGTTTGATTGAGCCACATTGTTGAAGCTTTTGTTGAGAAACCGCTGGTCTTTTAGAGTCCTTCGCACAATTCATTTGTTTGAGTTGTACTATCGTTATTGAAGTTTCCTGAAATAAAGATAATAAATATTATAAGTTGCTGAAAAGGGAATAGGTTAAATTAAGATATTTACTAAGAAGGACGGATACATTTTTTTTTCTAGTTAGTAATGTTTATGTGGGAGCTGTATTTGTTTGGCTAGGCTTCGAGGAGACTTACGTTTAAGCCTCACGCGCGAGGGGCGAAGCCGCGAAAAGAAGACGGCGAGCTAGTATACTGGAGCAGAGTTTTTGAAAATCATTCCGGCACAGCTTGAGTTGTTTAACGGGTGATGAAACAGTATAAAACGAGCAATTGATAACTGAAGAGATAAATGAAATTTATACAGGTAAAAGGTTGTCGTGTGACTTGATATTCGTTAAGCCTTGGGTTGCGATAGACTCATTTAGTCACACGCGCGAGGGGTGAAGTCAGAGAAGAATGTATTGCTGAGGGACCAAATAATTTTGTTATGCTAGCGTTAGCCTGAGAAAACAGACGTCGTTTCGCGGCGCCACCACTGGGAGCCCCGCGAAACAGACGTCTGAGGAATGAGCGCCAAAATTAAGTACAAGTGACGTAGCCACTACCCAGATCTGGGTAGTGCTTCTGATTGGTTGAAACAAATTTCCCTCGTGGCACCCGTGGATCCCGCGCGCGTATGTTGTTTTCATTTGATCCAAAATATAGAAAAGTTGAAAATTCGCATATCGAGCCATTAGAAGCGGCCATGATGGATGAAATTTGTCAACTAACCAAACGATGTCTTAACATAATCTTTGTACAGTGTGTTAAGTATCTCCAAAACTTTATTGTGCCCGTTCTAATTTTTTTGCATATGTTTCGTTTTAAAAAAGTGTCCCGTAAAAATTGTTGTGCGGAGAGACTTTATCGTGGAGGCTATTTTCGCTTACGACTCACTTTGTGCTAGATTAAACGCTCTTCTCTGACACTTCTTTATACGTCTCCTTCTGCCTCGAGGACAATATGAACGTGACAGTGGTCACGCAATCGCATTCCTTTTTGTCACCGACTGCTTTGACCGTTGGCAACATTGCTTGAGATTTGAGGACAAATTTCACTCTTTTGTAGCAATATTATAGAAGGCAGAATCTGTTAACATGTCTAAAGCGTCTTGTGTAGAGGATTTCACCTGTCGTTGGGTGATCCGTTCATCTATTGCTGCAGTATTATATATGGAATATTCGTTACAGGATTCAGAAATTTATATGTAAGTATACAAATTGAAAATGTAACATAATTCATGATGATTAGTGTTAAAGAAAGGCAAGCACAATTTATTTATCCTTAAAAAATTAAAAGATTGGTCATCCTACAAAGTTTTGACGATAAAATCAGTCATTTTAGGGCGGAGACGAGTGTAAACAAGACGAGACGAAAATTAACGTGATCGCCGGTCGGGAACATTCCAGCGAGAACTGTGGTTTGTTTCGTAAATACTATACGATTCTCAGACTGAAAGCTTCGAGAAAGATTGAAACTTCAAGGGTTTAGAAACCTGCTTGTAGGTCATTTATTGATATTCTTTCAGTCATTTCGTTTCTAAAGCTCGGTGCGAACAAAAAACTACCGAAACTTGTTGTTTAATTAATCAAGCACAAAGTGAGTCGTAAGCGAAAATAGCCTTTACGATAAAGTCTCTCCGCACAACAATTTTTACGGGCCACCTAAAATACTTTGCAAGTGATTAAACGAATGTTTCAGCTTTAATCTGGTATTGTTTTTTTTTTGCCTAAAAATCCAAATGTGGCACGTTTCTTGATAGACTTGTAGGCGTTGTGCACCCACAACACCCACAACACCCACAACAGCCGCAACACCCACAACAGCCGCAACGCCCACAACACCCACAAGAGCCACAACGCCACAACAGCCACAACAACCACAACGCCCGAACAGCCACAACATCAACAACAGCCACAACAGCCACAACAAACACAAAACCTACAACAGCCACAACAGCCACAACAGCCACAACAACCACAGCAGCCACAACACCCTGACCCACAACACCCACAACGCCCACAACAGCCACAACACCCACAACAGCCGCAACGCCCACAACGCCGACAACAGCCACAACGCCCACAACGCCCACAACAGCCACAACAGCCACAACGCCCACAACAGCCACAACAGCCACAACAGCCACAACAGCCACAACAGCCACAACAGCCACAACAGCCACAACAGCCACAACAGCCACAACAGCCACAACAGCCACAACAGCCACAACAGCCACAACAGCCACAACAGCACAACAGCCACAACAGCCACAACAGCCACAACAGCCACAACAGCCACAACAGCCACAACGCCCACAACACAAACAACAGCCACAACGCCCACAACGCCCACAACACCCACAACAGCCACAACGCCCACAACAGCCACAACAGCCACAACAGCCACAACAGCCACAACACCTACAACGCCCACAACAGCCATGACAGCCACAACAGCCACAACAGTCACAACAGCCACAACACCCACAACACCCACAACAGCCGCAAAACCCACAACAGCCACAACACCCACAACAGCCACAACAGCCACAACACCTACAACACCTACAACAGCCACGACAGCCACAACACCCACAACACCCACAACACCCACAACAGCCACAACACCCACCACACCCACAACACCCACAGCACCTACAACGCCCACAACAGCCACAACGCCCACAACACCCACAACACCCACAACGCCCACAACGCCCACAACGCCCACAACACCCACAACACCCACAACACCCACCACACCCACAACACCCACAACACCCACAACACCCACAACAGCCACAACACCCACAACAGCCGCAACCCCCACAACAGCCGCAACGCCCACAACACCCACAACAGCCACAACGCCACAACAGCCACAACAACCACAACGCCCACAACAGCCACAACATCAACAACAGCCACAACAACCACAACAGCCACAAAAACACAAAACCTACAACGCCCACAACAGCCACAACAGCCACAACAGCCACAACAGCCACAACAGCCACAACAGCCACAACAGCCACAACAGCCACAACGCCCACTACGCCCACAACAGCCACAACACCCACAACAGCCACAACGCCCACAACGCCCACGACAGCCACAACAGCCACAACAGCCACAACAGCCACAACAACCACAACAGCCACAACACACACAGCACCCACAACACCCACAACAGCCACAACAACCACAACGCCCACAACAGCCACAACAGCCACAACAGTCACAACAGCCA